AGCCCAACACTCCTGGTTTATGGGGTACCTCAGGGCTCTACACTTTTATCCCTTCTGTTTAACATCTACGTGAAGCCTCTAGGTGAAGTCATAGTCCCGTGGGGATGAGGTAACTTCAATATGTGGACAATACCCAATTACATCTCAAGCCCAGACTGACTAGGCAAAGCTATCAAGGCCTTGTCTGGGAGTGGGGGACTGGATGGGGAAGAACAGTCCTAGGCTGAGTGGCCGTGGGTTTCTGAAGCCTCCTGGGGCTGGGGGTGTTTCATCTTTAGTCCTAAATGGGATTGCATTTTTCCTTTTGGGGCTGGTATGCAATCTGAGAAGTCTTCTTGGACCCAAAGCTTCTGCTCAAAAAACAGGTGTCAGCTGTGGCTAAAAAAGCCTTTGCACAAATCTATCTTGTGTGTCAATGGTGCCCTTACCTGGACCAGGAGGTCCTTCAGACAGTCAGGCATGGATCAGTCACATGGACTACTGCACATAACTACTGAAATGCGCTTTACATTGGAGCACTCTTAAAACTACTTGAAAGCTGCAGCTGATCCAGAACATAGTGGCATGGGCAATTATGGGTATATCTTGTGATGTCCATATAACACCTTCGCTCCACTGGTTACCAGAAGGCTTTTAGGTGCAATTCAAGGTAATTGTTATTACCTGTAGAATCCTTCATGGCTAGGACCTGGTTATTTAAAAGACCATTCTTCTGTGTCTTCTGCCTGGCCTGTACAGTCGGGCTGAGTTGCTGTGCTCCAAGTCCCATTCATTAAGCAGGGTCATCTGAAGGGACCTAGGAAGCATACCTTCTCTGATGCAGCACCTGCCCTCTGGAACATTAATCCCCCCCACAAGAAAATCTGCCCCCCCCACCCTGGCCATGCTCAAAAGAGCTCTGAAAACCTGTCTCTTTCTCCAGTGGGTGGTGGGTCCTGCATGTTTGATTCACTTCTGATAGTATTTCCTCTGGCATTTGAATGCTTTTTTTAAAACAAATTATATTGTATGATTGTTTTTACTGTACACCATGCAGAGTCACTGTATAGTTGGTGGCTGCATAAATTTCTTAAACGAGCAAACAAACAAATACCCTCCCCTTTTGTAAGTCAAACTGGTCTAAGTGTAAAAGATTCTTGATATATTCCTATCCAGGTAGATAGGCACTTTTTGTGGAAGACTTCTAATTACAACATCTTAAGTAATATTCAGAGGAGGTTGCTGTTTCTTTCTTTGTCACACTGAGAGAAAAGTAAACCTAAACAGATAAGAGAGACGCTTGCAAGCTTGGAGGAGGATATTTTTAAATAGCTGTTCAACTTAATACGTTTGTCACTCATTTCGTTAACTGACACAGGCAGGATTAATTTGTGGAGGGAATGCTAAAACAGTGCCATCCTTCTGCTCTTATAGCTGGGCTCCAGCAAGACAAGTGAAAAGTATGCTTCTATTTCCGGAGGCAATACTTGATTCTTGCAATAAATAGGACAGCTCTTGAGGTGGCACCATTGAAAGAAAATCCCTTGGAGCAATAGATTTGTTTAGTAGGCTAGGGTGAGGTCATTTTTACATACCTATGAAATAGGTATGTACCTTTTCTTCCTTACTAGTTGATTCATTGATGCTGAACTTCTCTGCTTTTAGTGTTGGGAATGCTACTAGTCCTGAAGATGTTACATTTGTTCATTGTTAAATGACTGCTAAATGATGGCACTATCTATTAGTGTTACTAGGTCTTCCTTGAAAAGAACAAATAAAGGGCAGTAAAGAATCAGAGTTTTCGGTATCTTTTTGTGGCCATCTAATGGTTGTCTGGATTTCTGCAGCCCCAATCTGATAGCCCTAGTACCTATGGCTTAGGAAAAAAAATGTATCCTTCACACTTTTCCCCATCAGAGCATTTTAATCTTACAATCTTGGCTCAGATAGTTATCAAAGGAAATACAGGTCCAAAATACAGCAATTCTCAATTACAATATTTACAAATTATGAGGCGTTTCACTACTTGGGCCTTGGGGAAGAAAAATAGTATGTAGCATCATATGTAGTCTCATGTGATATGAATTAATTTGGAAGTAACCCACACAAAGCTCAATGTGGCTTACCCTCAGATAAGCATGCAAAGGACTGCAGCCAAAGTTACAACTAAACATGTGTCTGCCAGGGTTTTGTGGGATTACTCCTCATCAAGACAGCAGCTACATGAATGTTTATAGTTGCAGCAGTGTGCAGCAAAGGGCAAGCCCTGCTGAAATCATTAACATTAGTGGGATTTACTTCTAAATAAATGAAGCTTGCCCCTTATTGTAGTCTTTTCAGCAACAATGTTTAAAGTGTTTGAAAATGCACTAATACTGTAGATGATAGTGACTGGAAGCTAAGTAGGGTTGAGTTTGGATGATACTTGGATGGGAGACCACTATGGAAGTTACAGTCCGTAGATTAGACAAGAAGTAGAAAAATTATCTTAGGAGAAGGCTATGGCAAATCCCGTCCATATTTTTGCCAAAACCCCTCTGCATGGGTGTGCCTATGATGTCACCAGCAGTCAAACTCAACTTGAAGGAGCATTTATTTTTTAACTTAGCCTATAAATCTGTATTCCAAAACAAAATGTTTCCTGCCTATCATAATTCTCATAACCATAATAATAGTCTGGATTTTTAAAATGACATTTTTAATGTTATGTTTCCCAAAAATAGATTCTAGGTGGAATGAAACATATTCATCACAGTTAAAATGCCTAAACATTATTTGGAGATTTATGTCATCCAAGATAATAGAAGCAGGTAAACTACCTTATTTACCTGGCAGTATAAATTTATTTCTTAAATGGGAGCATCATCTTAGTTTCACTCAGAGAACGGAAGGGGGACATGAGTGCACATATAATTTGTGAATTGGTATTTAAAAAATGCTGAATTTCTAATTCCAACCCACAAACAGAACCAAAGATTATTTGTTTACACTAAAAGAGAAAGTTGAATTCTGTGAAAACAATTAAAGTGAGGAAAATAATTTAAGACAATGACAATAAGGGAACTGATGAAAAGGTATAAGATGTAAACAATGAGACAAGAACACATAAGAAAAAAGATTAATAGGTGGAATGCATATATAATTGTTGTATATATACCTATTAAAATTTGGGTGGTAGAGAGTCATCTTAAATTCAGATTTAACTTCCTTTTGGTTAACAAGATGAAGTCTCTCTCCTTTGTCAAGATCAACTCCTGGTAGTTATTTTGAAAACAATGTGGAAGTAGTCTGCCACTGTAGTCTCCTGGGATTTTTTTTTTTTTAAATTTCCTACAGCCTTGGAATTTTCTGATGGTCCCCATCAAATATTAATCAGGTCTGACCCTGTCTAGCTTTTCAAGAATCAGCCAAATAAAGAGTCCGGCAGCCTTAAAAACCTACTACATACATACATACATACATACATACATACATATGTAGTATATGTATATAGAATAGTATATTCTCATCTGTCACTGAGATCAAGAACGTCATTCAACTGTAGCAGAGGGAAATGGCCTGGCCATTTCATTGGCTTTGCTGACAGAGCAGCTCCATCCAACTTTCTCTAAATTTTATCTTGCTAGTCATTATTTAAGATCCAATCACATTAAGAATTCATATAAAGTACTTCCTTTTTTCCCTCTCACCTCCCCACTCCTTTTTTTGTCCAGTGTCATGTCTTTTAGAGTGTAAATCTGCAGGTGAGGTACCTATATGCTATTCTAAGAATCTTTTTGGAAGCCCAGTAAATTAGTAAATTAAAAGTGCAGTAACTAATCCATTCGCTCACTGTTTGCTCTATTTAGCACCACATTTGAGATTAGCAATGTTATTGCCAGAATAGTTCTCATTTCTGGGCTCCATGGAATAGTGCACTTCCTATGTTGGGTGTAACATTCAATTTCAAATTATGTTGAAAGCTTAATTCCCCAGATACCACTAATCTCCACATGTCATCAATGTATAGTCTGCAGATGAGCTTTAAGAAGTGTGAGAAGTCAAGGTAATAATAGCATTCCAAGGGTTTCCTGACAGGTGAGGAATTGTGTAGAATTTTTTCCTCTGAAATGCTACATAAAGCTTTACTTCCCTGGAAGAGCTTGCAGCTGAGGGATCGATCTGATCTGCAGGTGGTAGCTCAATGAGCCCCAGAGAAGGTGATCAGTAGTAGCCTTGGGGTCGTATGCCATAGGATTTAAAAAGAGACCAGTATAGGTACAGTTTCAAGCAGGCTGCATGAGACCGGATAAACCCGGAGAGAATGATAAGCGGCCCAGCGCGGGGTATGAATGCGTCAGCGGTGGTCCACCAAGGGTCGAGTGCAACTTAGAAGAACCAGTCACGTGGCCCGCACTAGCGGCCTTAGAAATAGGCCCGACGATGCCACGTGCTGGGGTGGGGGAAAAAAAATAGGCGCGCGCGCCGGCCAGCTCCTGAAAGAAAGTAAGGTTGACTGCGCCATGCGTTGGAGAGCGCGCGTAACACTAACTGCCTGGGCCTGACGAAAGGTCCAGAGAGCGAGAGCGCTCGTTTATCAGCCAATTACCTAGAGAGCATGCGCCGTGGTGGCTGCCGAGGATGGAGAGTGTTCCGATCCGAGAGAGGGGGAGGAGGGAAGTGAGGGGAGGAGGCTGGGCAGGTTGGCCGCCTATGTGAGGGAAAGTAGCAGTTTGCATTCGCTCAGTGTTTGCTTCAACGGAGCTGAGCTCGCCGCGCGAAGCTGTCCATCCCCGTCCCCTGCGAACTGTCTCGCTAGTGGCATTTCGTTGCGGGCGAAAGCACAGGGGGCGCTGAGCTGCCGCTCGCTTCTCTGGAATAACCGGGGAGGGGGGGGGAGTACTCAGGGAGCCTGCTTACTGCCTCCAAGAAGACCCGAGCAGATCGCCAGCCCGACCGGGAGCCAGTGCGTCTCAGCAGCCAAGCGCCGCCGCTACCGGGCGGGAGAGGGGGGAGAGAATTGGTGCCACCGCTGAATTTTTAATGGAAAAATGGCGATCTCGGCTCAGACCTGCGGCGCATCTTGCCTCGTCCGGGCTGCGTGCGGCCAAATCCTCCTATGCCTCGTCCTCTCGGCTGCCGCCGCGAATGGCTACAGCTTTCCCCAGCAGTACACGTAAGTAAGAGCTCCTCTCCCACCTAGGCTGCCAGGGCAGCCAGCCGCCACGGGGAAGCGCTGCCTCAGGCTGCCCGTCGGGTGCTTGCGGCGCATGTTGGTCCGGGTTGCCTGTGCTGGCGCGCGCCTTTGCGCTTATCCCGCTCCAAAGGACCAGCAGCGATATCACTTCGTATGGCCTTAATCAATATGCGAGTGTAAAAGTACACCGGTTTGCAGGTTTTTCAGATGAGTCTTTAGGGTGAAGGTCCTGTCTTCCAGCTACCCTTTCCCAGTTAGATACAGTCAAATGCAGAATCGGATCCTTACCAACTCAGCTTGTTTGCGGAAAGTGATGATGGCCGAGCAAGATGTCCTCACCTAATTTTAAAAGCAGAGATGCACGTAGGAATCCCTTTCTATAACTGTTGTGGCTGAATGGTTAAGTAAACCAGTACAGTAAACAAAAGAAAGGCCATAGTTTCATTGTAAATTCATCGAAGAACTCTCAAGACAAGCAAAAGTTTGAAAATTTTGCAATGGAGTAGTAATGAACGTGTTCATGTTCCATCCTGTTCAACTAGACTTGTGTTAGAAATAACCAAGACCTCATTGTAAATATTGGCAGCAGCAAGTTTCTATTTTTAAGCTCCCCTTTCCTTTGTCACTTTCTGCATTCTTCCTCCCTCCCCTCTTTATATAAAAAGGCTTAACATAGTGTTTTTAGAAGTAGAAAAGGTTGTTGAAGTTCTGGATTTTTTAAATTAATGTGTGTGTATCAGCTGTAGAAGAAGCGGAATTAGCTTTTATGGCTTACAAGTGTACCCACACAATCTCCACAATCCAGGAATTCCTGAAAGAGTTCAAAGTAATTAATGAGTTGATAACTGGTAGCAAAATGCAGCTATTTAAAGCTTTAATCCTCCTCCCTCTCCTCCTCCTCCTCCTTTACAGAAGGTTGGATACTATCCTATGGCACTGGGAGGTAAGAAGCATCATGTTAAATGCCTTTTGCTAGTGGATAGTTGAGTGTTATGAATGTTCTCATTCAAAGCATATATCAGCATTAACTATTTGATATATTTTTATTATTGCACACAGTACATTCAGGACACAAATCTGTCCTATTCCTGGGATTTGTTATGAAGGTTGGTGGTGTGCTCACTTGTCATCTAAGTGAAGATAGGTTTGATGAGCCAAATCAATAACAGCAAGGTTGATCTTATATAGTTACTGGCATTTGTAGTTTGTTTTAGTTTAAGCCCCATTGAAGTCTTCATAATATGACAAATATTTTAATAGTGTAACTGGTTCAGTGATTTTAAATGCTATGACCTGCCGAAGGGCATGCCAGCCACTGAATGCATAGTTTTAACTTATACAGAGGAAATGGGAATTCTTTTTCCAAATACAACACTTTTTAGGCCTTTTGAAATATTGTGGTATACTCTGGATGCAATTCCTACTGCTGACTCTTCCTCATCCCAATAAAGGTTTCCTGTATTTATTTAGCCACAGAATGTACAATAGCCCTAGGAGTTTCTGGTAATACTGCTTTAGTCCTTCAGTGCACCATACACTATTGGCACCTGAGTCTTGGCTGCTAGACTTTCATCTGTCTGTCAGACAGACATACAAATTCCACTGGGATTTAAGTTGAGAGAGATTTTTACCTGGATAGGAAACTAAATACTAACACTTGTTCAGTACTAAATGTTCATGGTTTCATCTTGCAGTCTCCCTGTGTGCATGAGTGATCATTACTCATGCAAGTAGTCCCTCTAGAAATAATCACTTTATTGCTTTCTAACAAAAGATGATATAACAGCCTCAACCATTAAATTGTATTGCACTGTATTAGATTTTTTTTAGAAACTGAATTTTAGTTAAAAACTTGGCTGTAGTTATCACAAACAGGAATTACAGCTTACAGAGTATGTGAGTTTTATATAGTTATATAAATTACTTTTAAGCCATAATGTTATAAGATTGATTGGACCAAGTTTAAATATAAATCCTGCTACGTTAAATTTTTGAAATAGTGGTGGTTTAGTTCAGTAGACTCTTCCTGGGAAATAAATCCCTTTAGAAAATAATTGTGAATGTGCATTCATATAACTGAGTTGTACAAAATGTATTTTTTATCAGCTATCCTATGGTACTGTTGCTAGTAATACCAAAGTTCAGATTCTACATTCCGCAAGCTCTTAAAATACCTGTAGAAGCCAGCAATTGTTGTATGCTACAGCTCAGTCCAATTACACATTATATATAGATTAACCTGAACATATGTGTATTTCTTGAGTATTGTGAAAACAAATAGATTTTTTGGGGGGGGGCGGTCTCTTTGCCTTGACTTCTCCAAACCAGTTGGGGAAATAAATGAGGGACGTGAATGGTTAGTTGATGTTGATGTATCACTGCTTCCTAATGCCCTTTAACATGTGGGCTCTAATGCTAGCTACAGCTCTTCAGAGCTCCCATCACTGTCATTCAAATGCTTAAAAGCTCAAATGCTATGGGAAGGGAAGGGGAAAAAAAGCTGTCATAGTCCCCATGGAATTATGTTCCTTTAACAGCTTTAGTTAAATGACCAGTGATTAAAAATAACTGAATTACTAAAAGCAAGTCATATTTTGCAGAATTACTGTTTAAATAATTACATTTCTTTAATAAAATTGTATTTTTGTCTTCCAAGTATATTCATTTCATTGCTTCATTCAAAGCTTACTATTCTATTTATGTATTTAGATAATACCCATACAATTATTTATATAATAATTGCCCATTATAGGATCTTATAGAGAAATGTCCCCAAAAGCTCATAAACTAAAATAGCAAACAATAGTCAGGGAGGAGAGAGAGAGAGAGGGAGAGAAAAAAGAGGCAAGTGGTTGATGTACAGAAATGCAGTTATGTTTACTTAAGCTTAAACTCACAGGATGAAACTGAAAGTCTTACAAAAAAGATTTGAAGGAATATTGGAAGGCTTTTGGACCAACTGAATGATGCTGATCAGTGGAATGAAGTTAGAAATCACCACCTTAGAGCTTGTCTCACAGAATTGCTTACTCTCTGTATGTTCAACACTAACCCTCAAGAATAAGCACTTTGTCTTCATATATAGTCCTAAAGCTGCTTTCTATTAGAGCAGTTTGTCTCGACTGCAGCATGATTGGAGTATTTAGTCTTTGAGTAGTGAAATTCAGATACTATTTAAACAATGGCAGTGCATATCAGTTCCTAGTTCTGTTCCCTAGAACATCTCTGTTGTGTTCATGTTATGTGAGTTTTTTATTCATCATATGCTGAACTAAGAAAGGCTTGGCTCAGTCTGCTATTTAATGTGGAATTTCTCAGGGAGGTTTAAAAAAGAAAATCCAAGATTGGAACAGGCCTATTGGAACAGGCATGTTGAGTTATATCCACCTGATAGGCATGTTGCTTTTGATGAATGGTACCCCTGTGTATGCAATTGGGATTAAAAGCTTTACTTTTTGAGGTAGACTCTTCTTTTAAATACTTTCTACCAGCATTGGCTAGCCGATGCTAAATAGAAGCAGAGTTTTTTGGAGATATGACAGCAACCTGTGCCTCTTTGTACACATATATATACACACTGGTAGAGTGAAAGAAGATATTGTATGATAGCTGTTCTGCAACCTGTACCTACATATGATGTCTCTGAGATATTTATAAGAATTAAAATATGTCTAGACACTATAAATCCCAAATATATCCACGATTGTAGCTGTGTTACTTCTTTTTAGCCCAAAGCAATTACAAGACTTGTTAAAGAGTAATACATTTATTTGGAAGTAAGGGTTATTTGTCTAGAGCTGACTTTACGACATCCCGCAAATACAAAATGATAAAACAAACCTGTATCTAACTTACAAGGAAAATTGTTTATTTTTTAAATTTCAAAGAATGTTCCTAAAGCCTGGATAATTTTTTTTTTGTACCATTTATGGAGTAGAATATATTTGATACTTTTATTCATAAATGTAAATTCTGGTAAACTAATCATATTGCTGGCAATATGAGTGGTTTATTACCTACTTCAGTTCCTCACTTAGTATTGCATTTGCATTTGTAATGGGCTGTAAAATTAGGCACCCAAATTTGATGTCTTTGGATGTTTGATTAGGTTGTAAGCTACTGATCTCCCCCCCACCCCATAAAGTCTAGAGTTGGTCTAAATTTGGGGTTTTGGCTCCTTATCTTACTCCTTCTGGTTTTGGTCAATAGACAAATCCCATAAATAAATGGATAAATCAATAAGTATGATCTGTACATTTTACTAAGCTCACATTATCTATTTTGATATGAATTATTCATTTATATTCCAGTCTTTCACTAAAGTTACCCAGAGCAATATACAATCATGAAACCATATATTCTAATCAATAAAAAATCAAAGTCATGAAAAATCCAAAGGCTTATACAAAATATAATCAAATAACTAACAGTAACACAGGTAAAATATGTCAGTCATCAAAACTGACAATAGTATTAGGTGTTAAGCCATTACAATATCTGGCACCAAGAGGGAGCCTGGCAATTATCATTTGGTGTCATGGGCTCTGCCCCTGGAAAAACCTTTTCCTTCATGCTCACTGAATCACCTGAGATTGTACCAAGAATTAGGTCTCTTTCACTGATTATCATCCCTGAGTAAAACTATATGGGAGCAAGCAGTCCCCAAGGTAATGCTGCTGTTTCTGAATATCCCAGTCCACACAAGTACTAACTTGCATGGATATACCTGACATAAGGAGACAGTTTTCTGCAGAGAGTGCATGCATAACAGACCATGCAGTCTGTTCCATTGGAACAAAGAAATGAACTGACAGAGATTATGCAGAACTGTATTTTGTCATAAAACATTTACAGAAAAGTTATTAGATTAATGTACTGCTAGCAATCCATCAACAGTTTATTCTTTTATAGCAGAGATGGAGAAGAATAGGAGTGAAGAATTAAAAGTCAGCCAAGTATGGAACAAGGAGGTCAGGAAA